TCTTTATTAATCCATAAAATTACAATTATGTAATGTTATGGCAAGCTTTTACATCAATGTTGTGGTAAGGGACAGCATAGAACGGTTGCAACAACGTGTTGCAACTGTCCCCACACTGACAGCCGTGACAAAACTTGGTATATTAGCTTGACACAATATCTTTGACACATGCTAACTATGCCTATTAGAAGCTAAGAAAACACAGATATAAATCATATATTTTACAATGCTTCACTGCAAACAACTTAGACAGTATGACAAAAATCTGATGATTAAAAAAAATACTTCTTTACCATGAAAATTGTTATTTGTAGAAGGAATGGTCATGTGCCTGATTTCATCCAGGAAGGATGAGGGGCTGATTGAGCATGTGTAGTATGAATATCATCACTGTAGCTCATTCCTGATTGAAGAAATAAGCCATGTTGCAAGTTGCAACCGTCCCCACCATTTTACTCTGCCAGCACGCAACACATAAAACACAAGCAGGGGGAGTTTCCATGTGTGTGACTGCTGGATGGGTTTCCTCATTCTGGAATATACACTTGATTTCCTGCTAATTAATAGGCCTACATAAAACTAATAATACCATTTTAAGTGAATAACATCATTAATTCGTTTTATTTATAAAAGAAAACTTTGGACATTGAACACTTAATTTAACACATAATTAAATTAAAAATAGATGTGAATACACGTAGGATAAGTGCAAATTCCTGTATAAACTAAGTTATAAGGCTAATCGGGTATAGCTATGTATGCTATCCTAGTACATAAGCTAACTAATACAGACATTGATGGTCATTATAACGTAGTTAAAACAGCATTTATCATAACACGATTTTGTTGGAATTGTAACCAGGCGCTAAAGAGAGAGGGCCTACCTATTAAAAGTAATCTGGGCCAATGCAGCTTCAAGAATTTCTCTTAAAAGGAGAAATTCCTGACAATTCTGCAAATCGTCGAAAGGTAAGACGGGAGTCGACGAATTTTATCATCAAAGGTAACTATTAGTACCGAATGATTTTATAATGAAAAAGAGAATTGACTGTCTGTTAAACCGAAGCCCACTCACTCACTGAGGCGCTGGTGAGTGATTTTGAATTTACAGACAGTGAGCGCCCTCTGGAGGTTCAGTGGTGTCATTACACCTCCGCGCCTCCGGCCCTCACAGCTACTGAAGACAAACCTGTAACTGTGTAACTTCATTTCATTTTAATCTTATTTAATCTCAAACTAATTTTAAGCTTATTGTGACCCTGGAGCACAAAACCAGTCATAAGCACGGGTATATTTGTATCAATAGCCAACAATACTCAAATGTCCTCATTTGTAAGTCGCTTTGGATAAAAGCGTCTGCTAAATGACTAAATGTAAATGTAATGTAAATGTAATACATTGTACGGGTCAAAATTATCGATTTTTCTTTTATGCCAAAAATCATTAGGGTATTAAGTAAAGATCATGTTCCATGAAGATATTTTGTAAATTTCCTACTGTAAATATATAAATATATCAAATATATTTTTGATTACTAATATGCATTGCTAAGAACTTCATTTGGACAACTTTAAATGGGATTTTCTCAATTTATTTATTTATTTTATTTTATTTTATATTTTTTTGCACCCTCAGATTTCAGATTTTCAAATAGTCATATCTCAGCCAAATGTTGTCCTATCCTAACAAACCACACATCAATGGAAAGCTTATTTATTCATTTATTAATCTCAGTATGCCAGTATGTCATTGTCAGTTGTCAATAATCACCTCTGTTTCTAGGTCATAGTGCCCCATGTCCTGCAAAAATAGGTCAGATGGCAGCCAGATCATCATCACAATCTGAACAGTCAGTCATTGCTATGTTTCTGTA